GATTTCAAGTCTTCCAAAGTTTGAAACCCTCATTGGCATATTGGGAGGTTATGAGAAGGGCGAAAGGGTTGATCGACTGATTTATTGGGGTCTTCTGGGCAAGAAACCTTGAGGACTTGTTCTCAAACACAACACCGCAGTATTTTACTGTCCTCCTCTTCTACCCTAAGTTTTGATGCAGATAATACTGAGGTAGACAAAGTGATTTTTTCGTTAAAATGCTCTCACTGAAGAAAAGTTGTGTAGAAACAGAGCTGCTTGGTCGGTCGTCACTACGTTTCGAATTTTCAAACAATTCAGTTCGAAACCAATTTTTTTAAGATAACTACGACTTCTATCTCAGTTCGCGGTGACAGCTTTGGCGAGAGTGATAAAATTTGCAGCTTAACTTTCCAAATGTTGCGAATAGTATATGTGCTCTGGGCGAGTGGTGTTCTTCGCTTACAATCTTCTACCTTTATAAGCATTTCTAGCAACTCCTTATTCTAGGAACGTAATGGAATTAGAATTCGTCTTCTTTAATTGGGGTAAAATATACTTTCTCCTTTGCGTGAGTGAAACTCTACCGGGAACCTTAAACATGTTTCAAATCAGTCATTTTGGCCGGGCTGATATCGTCTGATATGTGGTTGCATACCTTAAGATCTCTTAGAGCAATTGCTGATACGCTTTTTGTTTTGAAATAACTTAATAATTATATTGCCTTTCCTGTTTGCACTTAGTTTCCTCGCCCATTCTGATCCAGCTTGCGTCAGCAACCTCAAAGATTTAGTCCTATATTCACCTGAAAACAAGCTTGACAAAGCGATAGGATTGACTTATGTTCGAGAGCTAACCACGTTGAGCCTAAATCTGAGCTCTATTTATTGCAAGTCGCTTGCAAAGAAAGAGAGTAAAGAACAAGCTCGACAGAAAGGTAGGACTGAATTACAATCGAGCACAAATCTCATCGAGCCTAAACTATCAAAATCGAATCGAAATCGTTAAAAAAAAAACTAAAGATCTAAACGACTGTCATACTGGATTGTTATCCCACTTGTTCCAGATGATCTTATCTTTTTTACTACGAACACCTCGAGTATCCCTCGTTTACAAGAATTTTTGTGTAGCTCACAAACCATCCGTTATGGAGAAGAAAAAACCACTGGCAACACTAAAATCTGACGGTTATCATATCATACACGTAGTCGTTTGTGTTTGATTTGATTTATTGTTTGCCGCCTATGAACTACCAGCGATTTGTGTGCAAAACTGAAGAAACTGTTTTACAGTGCATTCAGTTTCGAGGTTGTACAGTACTTGCCAGGTGCAGCCATCAGCACAAGAACAGTCAGAGTGAAGAGTACTTGATTAATTTTTGTGATTCCTACCTTGGGTCGAAGTTTAACTTTTCGCGTTTTTTCTGAAAATCTACTGCCACCCCAAATTTATGCATACCAAGGCCAACGCATGACGAAAGCTGGTTCAAATAGGGAAAAGCCTATCATGCTGGGGACCAACGCGTCGAAAGATATTAAACGGTATTTTGCAACCATTTGATCTATTTGAGAGTCGTATCGTTCAGAGATGTGTTTCACAAGACAAAAAATTGCCCGTGGGATAGATCTAAAAATGAAATTGCAAAGTTGTACTGTACTCACCATGTGCAGCCATGAGCACAAAAACAGTCAGAGTGAACAGCAAACGATTCATTTTTGTGGCTCCTATCTTGTGCTGAGGTTTAAATCCTCGTTCTATACCGAACTTAAGCATGATACGGTCTCTAAGGGCGCTGGAAAGACAGAAGGACAAACATGGTCCGGAGGGCAATATACATCCCCTATGGACCTAGTCCACCAAACACTACATTCAATTGTATTGGTGTTATTATGTTACTTTTGGGATTTACATGGCCGAATAGGAACACAAAATATCATACACCTGGTCATCTGAGTCAGATGTGAAATATATTTGCTCATCTTCAAAGATTAGAAGTCTTCCACAGAATTGATCCACGAACTGTGCGTATGGTGATAAATAATGGACCCCCGGTTCATGTCTTGTAGATTTCCGGTCCTTAACAAAACGCTAATGTGTCATTGATCTCTGTACAGAGTATGACGCATAGAGCTGGCATAAAAAAAAGTTTGAATGTTATTGCGTACGGTGTAACCACGAGGCTGCGCCTCGTGGTTTCATTTTAGTTTTGAATAGTGTTGACGTCATTTCTATGATATATAAGGTTATAGACAATGGAGAATTGTGGTTGATTTGCTATATATTCATAATAGTTACTAAAAACAGTGAGTAGCCTAATAGTGTACGGCTGTACACAAAATGGAAAAAAAAATGATGAACCATCTCAGTTGTTACGTTTTGATCGAATTGTGTAGATCTATACCTGAACAATTCCGTGATGCATTATGGCGGATTCGCGCTTCACCGTCATCACTCCATGAGTACAGTAGAAATCTGGAGCTAATAATTTATCGTTTAATAACAGAGACATTTTTCTCACAGTACATGCTTTCATGTGAACTTTGCGGGCGCATGAAATCTAAGGACGAGACTGTTTCTGGTCAAAAATCTGTCAGCATTAATTGCAGAATTTATGACGTCAGAGTAAATGTTGAGACGACCTGCACGTAAACACGACATGTTTAAAGTACCATGAGTTTCGAGCCCACTAACTTATAGCCAATCGCTCTGTGACAAAATGTGTACAAGTTTTGAACAGCCCTGGGTTTTAAGCCATAGTTTTGAGTAAATAAGACTATTTTAAGTAAGCCCTAACGAACCGTGCCGGTCACTATAAAGCTTACGTCAGAGTTGGTTCGGTCTAAGTGACATACTAGATTTCCCGTTATCTCTGATAAGCCAAGCTAACAACTAGGAAGCCGCTATGATTAGAACTTAGGCTCACAAATTTTTAATGCAGGTATAAAAATGCCACCATATGCAACTGATATATCATAAGTGTAAAAGCTATTGAAAATGCTATTGTTTAACAATGCGTTAACTGTGCACTAGAGATTCTTATAGCTCAAAATCTTTATATAATCTTGAAGACTGCGCGAATGAAGAATTCCTCTGTCATTTAACATAAGCTATCTAAAAAAAAGCAAACGAAGCAAACAAAAAAAATAAATAACAAACCAAAGCAAAAATTGATACAAAGAGGATGAAAAAGTCAAAAGTCTTGGCGTAAGTGACAAGCTATGAGAACAGCAGCCTGGTAAAAGTGTTTCCAGCTTACTTCAGCAGTTCCAGGCTCATCACGTGAAAGCAAACGGCAAACGGTATGATGCTGAAGGTAAAAGATGAGCCTGCGTTACATCCGTCATCAGAACATCAGCCAACCGTAGTAATCCTTCAAAGTATCTTACGCTTTATCACACTTTGAATTTTAACGCTATATTCACTTGACTCTGATAATGACTTCCGCACAGGTTTTCAAAACGTCAGTCACTACCACCGACAAAAGTCCTTCTCAGGACTACACTCACCCGTACGATCACACTACACTTTCACTTTGATTTTAGGGTGTCACAGCTTGATTGATAAGAGCATCTGTTCGAAACTACGACATCGTTATCTTTGGCTTTTTCCCAGGTTCTGAAGCATTTATCACCAAGCAAATACGTTTTTAAATAGCTGGCCTTGTTTGTCCTCCAATTTACTTATCTTACAGCAGGTGTCTTCAGAACTAACGCGGACGTAACATTTCAAAGCAACAGCTGACGAGTAAGAAGAAAGATAAATAATGAATAAAGATTCATTTTTCACAAATAAGGAAGCACTTTTTCGATTAGCCAAAAGCGTACTCGGCTGCCAAGCAGGGCAGGAACATGAACAGATTTTGTCTTTAAAAGGGCCAAGGTGTATGAACCCTGGCGGTCATACTCCAACCGACCGTCCCTTTAACTGACAGACCAAAATAAACTTCAAAGGCCAATTTATTCAGTCGCCCTAAGCCTATATAACCATAGATTTTTGCCAGGTTTGAGGACTCAGCCGTCACCTTTACTGACCATAATAAAAAAAAACGTATCTTCTCGTATTATATGCCGTATTATCAATTACATTGTAGAAAAAAAAACGATTATTGCAATTTTAACAGCTAGGACTGTCCTAGTGAGATTCCTGCACTGCAGGCTCAGTTTGAAAGAGGGTAGCAAAGGTTTATACGTGACATGTGATTGACGCCAAAATTAACATGTGACATGTGAATTTTACAGAAAGGTGAGCATGATTCGTGAATTCATGAACCAGCATGTGGCGTGATTTACCTCCTGAAATATCTGTGGCGTGAATACCCTACGATGTCCGTGAAATCCTGAACACGAATTTTTCCTTTGTATACGATAAGCATGAATTTCTCTAAACCCCAAACCCTGAATTCCTAAACCCCTCTCGCCTGTTTGCTACCTTCGTAATAACGCACAGCAGTAGTAATAATCGATCTAATATTGTGCTTTGACTTTCTTCAGCAACCACTATTCATTTCTAGTTTAGTTAATTGTATGCCCCTGGTTGGAGGACACCAGTCTGGCTTTATCATGCCTTTAACTCTTGATACTTTTCTTCGTCCCGCCGCTTTCTCGCAGTTTAAACGCAGAAATATAGTGATACAGTTAACTAAAAGAAATTTTTCATATAATTAAGTTTTCATATAATGTATTTGAATTCGTAATTGTTCACTCCTTAGGCACCCAAATCCTAGGTAGGAAACATCGAAATAAATTTTAACCGTATATATAATGTTTCAGTATACGAGGTTTCTTACGTTTTAAAAGAAATACTTGCTAAAGCTAGCTGATAATCAACAGATCTTTTATTGTTACTGAAGGATAGAAAATACCCACTTAGCGAAGGGTTTTGCATGCTGGAACGAAATGTTTGCTTTTATAATTTATAATTTAAAATCAGACTTGAAACTAACATTCGCTCGAGTTTCAATGTCCGCGAAGGTTCCTTTCCCAGAACACCCGCTGGTAATTAGAGTAGGTTTCACTACCTGCTTGCAGTTTCGATCCACTTTATTGATTACCAAAAACTGAGAAAGAGTAACTAACAACTACGCAGCCGCTACTTACAAATAACGCTCATAAAGTTCAGTTAATGCAGGTATAAAATGTGACCCTGCAACTAATATATCATAATTTTAAAGCTATTGACAATACTATTGTTTTAAAAAGCATTATGCGTGCTCTAGAGACTCTTTCAGCTCGAAAACTTTACATCATATTGAAGACGGTGAGAATGAGGTAACACGTTGTCATTTAAACTACCTGAAAGAACAAAAAAAAAAATATAGACGAAAAAAGAGAGAAAAGGTCAAGAGTCTTGACATGAGTGGCGAGCCCTAAGAACAGCAGCCTGGTAAAAGTGTACCCACAGTTACTTCAGCAGTTCCAGGCCCAGGAAAGTGCACATGGCCAACAGGATAATACTAAAGGTGAGAGATGAGCCTGCGTTGCATCCGTCATCAGAACAGCAGCCAACCGCACACTGATAATCCTTCAGAGTATCTTTAGCTTTATCACATGCTGATTTTTGGGCGTCACAGTAGTCTTCGGTAGTGCATCCGCTATGAACTATAGCATCGTTATCTTTGGTTTTTTGCCAGTATCTGAGGCATGTATCGGCAAGAAAACACGTATTTAAATAGGTGGGCTTGTTGTCCTCCAATTTGCTTTTCTTACAATTATCTTCAGAACCAATGCAGGTGTAACACTTCAAAGAGACAGCTGAAAACATAAATATAACATTGTTAAACACAACTAAGGATAAGACGTCAAAACAACAATTTTAATTAATGTATAAAGAGGTCTAGAATTGTGAGGCACTCCCTCAATAGCCAAAACGGATTCTTGCCGCCCAGTAGGGTATGATTGTTGACCGTTTAGTCTTTAAAAGTGCTAAGGTGTATAAGAACGCTACCTATTCATCTCTTACCCTACCGTCCATATAAATTACACCTTTCCCCCCTTTTTTAACTACACCTGGTTTAGTTAGCTTGAGGCTCTTACTGACTGTGCCTACATTATTTACCAATAATATTTTCACCAAAACATAATAAGGTCCCATTATTTCCTGTTGTTTAGATGTAACGGTGCAAAATGTTCAATAGCATTCCTATTGTCTGACAGACCAAAAGAACTTCGTAAACCAATTTATCAAGTCACAATTAGTGCACACAAAAACTGAGGATTGCAGGCGGCCAGGTAGCCCTGAGCAGTTTGTATCTTTTTTGCTATCCTTCTCCGCGACATCAAGTAGTAAGACTGAGCTGTGCTAATTTCCCCTTGTGAACATGAGTGCGGCCTTGTATTGCTTACATTATACGTCAATGATTTACAATCTATTCCTACATACTGTTTTTGGTGCCTAGTGCTTTTGCACGTAGACACCAAGAGAAGGGCGCAAAAAATTTCGAAAAGTACCTCATATACCGCAACATATGACGTCATACAAGTAAGGCTGCACTTAAAAGTATATGTGTGATGAATGATATGAAAGGGGAAAGAAAATGTTAGCCAAAGAATGTGTAACCAAATCGATTTATTAATCACGAGGAGTCGGGAACGAAAAGACCACGACGAATCCCATTCAAGAATAAACAGAGCGAGGAATAGTCGGGACCAGTTAAATTAGGAAACGAAGAGAAAACAACGATTTGATGCCGGAGGCCGTGTGGCTTTCGACCATGTGCCTCGACAAACCCACGCGAGCCAGTAAATGTGCTGTCGTTGAACTGAGAATTTCTTTGAGTAACGAACTGTATGAGAAAGCGGTGGCATATTTTAATCGAAAAAGTAATTTTAAAAGTAGCAGTCATAATATGGGGCGCCAAACCAGTCAATATTCCCTACTGTATGTATATCTGTGACCCTGTTTACTTTTGACATGCCGGATCAACTTGACTTTTTAAATGCTCAACGTTTACTTTCTCTGTGGTCAAATTGACTTTTTATATGCTCAACTTCTTACTTTTTCTACGGTCAACTTTTTACATTTTTAATGGTCAACTCGACTTATTATATGGTCAACATTTTACTTTTCCTATGGTCAACTTGACTTTGTGACCTCCACAGTGCATTGCGTTAAGACTCTAACAAAATGACCGACAATAACGAAAACTTGCGGCACATCTCCTCGGCGTGCGCCATAGCTGAGCAGGCTCTCGAAGCCTTCGGCAATCTTCAGGATAATGACATTCGAAATGTGGCAGCGTTGGCGGCTACCGACATTGCTTCGACTTCCTCTGTTCCATCGTCAAGCCCTTCGACTGCAGCAGAGCTCTCACGCCGATTTCCAACTTTTAACGCATGTGGGGTAACCGCAACTAGAAAATGAACTTCAACGAGTGCTTTGACGAGTTCCAAGTTACGAAAAAACGAAAACGAGTGCTTTGACGAGTTCCAAGTTACGAAAAAGTTGGTTATACAGCTTTGCTACCGACTATAAGTTCTGCAATGTAAGATATCTAAACAAATGCGAGGGTGTAATTACGTGACAGTTGAAAAACAGCCATGAACGATGATTGCTTCAGCAAACCGCAGATGTTTTCTTTTACTCTTCCTTGGAAAAAAGTTCAATAAACATTTATAGCATTTGCTTTCTTTTGTCTGAATGACGAATTATAAATTAGATTACCCATAATGATTTCGGACGGCCCCTCCCCCCATTCAGTTGAAATACCGAACAAGCGCTTCTCATAATAGAAAAATAAAGAAAAATAACTGAGATCTGAATGACTTTTATACTGGATTTATTCCCCTCGTTCAAGTTAAGATTAACTATTTCAGGATAAACACATAACAAAAGCCGGTGCCTACATTTTCGAGGATAAATGTATGGTTCACGGAGAAACTTGAAGGCCCATCATAGTGGGACAAAAAGCCACTTAAAATACTCGGCGATTATTTTTCAGCCATTTGATCCGCTTCAGTGTTGCATTGTTCAGTGATGTGTTTCACAAGACACGAAGTTTCCTGTGCAGTTAATCCACCATTTAAATTCAAAAGTTGTACAAGACTCACCAGATACAGCCCTCAGAACAAGAACGGTCAGAGTGAACAGCAAACGATTCATTTTTGAAGCTCCTATCTTGGTCGGAGTTTAACTTTTCGAGTTATACAGAAAATTATAATGTAGTGTCACGCCAAAGTTATGCACAGTATGGTCTCAGGCCGGACGTAAGTGAAACATGGATCGGATGTCCGAAAATGAAAAAAACCTGCCTATTTAAGGGCATAGGCTAAAATATGGACTAGACAAGACTATTTTTGGACCATTTTTTGGACTATTTTTTTTACCATTTTTTGGGACCATTTTCTAAGGGGGAAGCACACCATTAGTACTCAGGGAGGGGTGGGTGCAGTCTATAAGTACTGAGGGAGGGGTGGGAGGCAGAGTGTCATTACTCAAGGAGGGGTAGGAGTTGGTTGTAATTGTAAACACTACTGGTTAATAGAGCATTAACTCGATCGCACAAGTTATTTTAATCGGTCCTAAACCGGTTGCTATAATTATGGAATACGCGCGTTTTGATTTCCTGCCATTCGATATTCGAAATGCTGCATTTCCTCGACAGTATACAAGCAGGCGAAGCCTTTCAACATTTATTACCACTTTTTCCCAAGGAAGTAATTGATATCGCCGAGGGACTTGAATTTTTGCATTCAAGGAATGTGGTACACTGCGAAACCAGGGAATGTCTATTTCAGAAACCACATATGGTTTTGTCCCGCGCGTTGGACGTGTGCGCGTGAACCAAGGCTCTCTTCGAAATGTCGAAAACAAATTTTCGAGGTTTCCCTTACTCGAAGTCTGCGTTTTTGAGGTCTGCGTTTTCGAGGTCTGCGTTCTGCGATCTGCGTTTTCGAGATCTGTGTTTTCGAGACTCCCGAAAGAAGGTTGCTTTGTACGATTGTACAAACAATGATTTTATATAGTAAACGCATAAACGTTAAAATTGTGATAGCGCTTGTGAATTCTATATGCTGCTAAGTAAAGGGCCAATGACCAGAAATTCCGTGATCTCGTCTGATAACATCAGTGACAAAGGAAGATAGATGCACAAGTCGACTCAAAAGGAACACGCATAACTCAACAGTGGAGGATCGCAAACGCGATATTTCAATAAAAGTTAGAGTCCAGTGTTAACATGGCAGGTTCGCTTTTGCATTACAAAAAAATTAGAGAAACGCCGCGGCCCAGCGCAATAAATTTTGATATACAAAAAGTTAGTCGAAAAATCGATTAACATAATTTGCACGATCGAGTAAAAGCACCATTAACCAGTAGTGTTTACAATTACAACCACCTCCCACCCTCCCTGAGTAATAACACTATGCCTCTCACACCTCGCTCAGTAATTATAGACTGCACCCACCCCTCCCTTAGTACTAATGGTGTGCATCCGCCATTAATAAGTGGCCCAAAAAATGGTTCAAAAAATGGTCAAGAAATAGTCCAGTCCTGTCTATAATTACCCTATGCCCTATATAAGTAAGATGTGAAAAAAGTATTTGATTACAATGAATGAAGAAAATCATATGTACTGCGGTTTCATAAAATGTAAATGTATGAAAGCGATTCTCGCAGTAATGAGCGCTACTCATTTAGTAGTGGAAAATAAGGCCTGGAAAAAATATTATTATTATCATTATTATTATTATTATTATTATTATTATTATTATTTCACAAGTTAAAGATGGTCTACAGACGGTCTGATCCACGCACTAGGAGCATAATGGCGCTCCATGGATCCCCGAGAGGGGCATTGGGGTCTCTTAGAAACCGCAAAAACGCAAACTGAAAACTTCTATCGAGATCGAAAGTTACACAATAATAAGCGGAGATAATTTTGATGTTCGAGCACCAAGAACACATCTTCTTACCAACGTGTAACATCTTCTTCTGCGAAGTTTTCGATTGAGTTGTCTTGTGACTCGAAAATATATAACTATCACAAACGTGAGAAAAATCATTTCCAGTTTTCTTAGACATTGCCTTAAATAATGAAATAACTTTCTTCAGTCAAGCTTTTGGATTGCTTCTTGTGGCTTCAGTCGGTAAGTAATGCATCGCCATCAAATTATTTGATTTCGAAGTAAATTTTAAAATTACAATTATGGTAAAAAGTATGACGGAAGGCGAGAATATAATTCAGTCCTAGGTGAAAATGTATTCTGTGGTATTGATTTTAACACGATTACCAACCATGAGGATAATTAGCCAGCAGAATCAAAAAGTAGCAAAATTGAATCGTGTATGAAATCTCTGATATGAGTCCTTCTTGCTGTTTTGATTGTAGAATCACTAATGTACTATGAATTCGTACAAGTATTGCTTTAGTAATACATAATTTTCACTCTCGATTGTCTAAGATACCAATGCAACAACAGCAGCGACGCGCATTAGTTTTTTTTTTTTTAACCTAAAATTGGAACAAAATGGCATGTTTAAAATGGAATATATTTCGTCATTTTTCATTGAGTTCTTTTCAGTTTCTTCAAGGTAGTCGCGGCATTATTTTCGCACGGATTAAAGCGGCTTTAAAATTTAAGGAAAAGTCAGTTATTCGCCAGCTGACCGCAGCGGAATACTTTAGTTGTCAGTTGATAATTCCCGACTCTTGTAACTGGAACGATGAAAATCTTAAATACCAAATGCATCACTGCTCGTTTCTGTGTGACTCAAGTTAAAACATGGACAAAGAACAGAAATAGGTGATACCTTC